AGGATGGTACTACGAGAGGCTAGGAGAGGTTGGGATTGTGAGAAAGCAGCATTCATGAGGTAGAGAATATATATATATATATACATACACACATACACATATATACGTAAACGTATATATATGAAGCCAGTGAATCATATGAGAAGCCCATGGTGCAGAAATAAGTGAAAAGATGAAGAGAAACGGAGTCAAAGTCATTGCTGAAGGTGGGAGTCAGGACCTGCCATGTTCCTCCACTGAGGTTCTTAAGAACAGTTGGAGCCATCCAGCTCCCATATGGTCCGATCAAAGTAGGACTCCTGTGTCTTTTACTCCTGCTCTGAATTTGAAAAAGCTCTACTTCAAAAAAGGTAGTTGCTGTGTTTTCCGTTTAATCAAGGGTGTGAAACTTGGCATGATCTTGCTTTTCAGAGTTGAGTTGGAATTCCAAAGAATTCCACACTTCTATTATAGCCAGAAAGGAAACCCAAGGCTCATTTATTTAATTTTAGGAAGACAAGAAGTTTCATCTTAAGTGTAGATTCTTGTCAGTGCATGATAAATGACGGAGATTTGGTTGAACAAGGTTCTGAGGCTGTCTATGGGCACAGTGGGACGGAATGTAGTGATCAATTAACAATGTGTGCCATGGGCTCAGAGAAAGAAAGGCAGCCTCGTATTTTCTACCAGGGATCTAATGTGGAAATAGACTTACTGGATCTAAATGACTTGTTAAAAGAGTTACACAAGGCTCGTTACTATAATTGCTGGGACTAGATCTTATATCTTCTGACTTTCCACCTAACTTTTCTTACGTCTTTCTGATTCAGTTAAATTTAGTTCTTTGAAGCTCTTTTGGGAAACTAAGAATTCCTTCTCATAAGAAAAGCTGCCTCTTATTATATGAAAAACTATATGCATAGCCTTTCTGAAGGTCACTTGGGTTCACATTATGTCTTTGCAGATGAATTCTGGAGGAGTCAAGTTGCCAGATTCAGCAAATAAAAATACAAGGCTCTCAGTGAAAGGGACTTGGGACATCTTTACACTCAGTAATGATTTGTTGTGCTACCTGAAATTCAAATTTGATTGGACATCCTGAATTTAATCAGAATTTTAGGCCTAAGAGAAGTCAAGTGCGTAAGACTATGTATGTGTGTGCATGTGTCTTGGTATACTGATGAATATATGTTCTGGAGCCTGACAATCTCACCTACCAACTATATAATTATTTTTTCCAATAGTCTGACCCACTGGACAGGTTCAGGCAGCTGCACTTTAATTTCAGTTGTGAATATAGTCAGACCTGGGTGTTTTCAGTAGAAGATCCTTACAACTCCCTTTCATTATTTCAGAGTAATTTCAAGAACAACAGAGATGTACTGTGGTGCCAAGAATGTTATCTGAAGCTGTGGTAGGGATAGATTATAAAGACTTCGCCTTTTCCTGCTGTTCATTTCAGCCAAGGCAGCATCTCATGAGCAATCTGGTAAAAGATAATGTGGGAATATTTAAGTAACCCCTTAGAGTTTATGATTTTTCTACTTCCAGTGCTTTCAGATAATTTCTTGGAATTCTGACTAGATTGGGCAAGGTTTTATTTCAATAAATTCTGCCACCTTCATGATGGCACTGGAGTGAAGCCATGGACGTGGTCTTCTTCATATTGCTGCTCATAAATGTCTTTGCCATACAACAGATGCATCGATTCGGAATGACTTCATACTGTGGCTAATCCATTGGGTTTATAGCTACGGACTAATAAAAACTCAATAAAATGATGTCAATTCAGGACTCATTTGCTTCCCTCTTCAAGTTAGGGTGGGATAATTAAAAAAAATATAAACTAGGATTATTCTGGTTTGTTCTTGCTTTAAAGAATCCTCTGAAATAGATATCCAGGTATGTCACCAGAAAACTCAAGGGATGATGTCGTTTCACACGTAACTTAAAATTTTAGTTTTTTTTTTTTTCCTCTCTCTCTCTCTTCTTAGATTTTTCTCTGCAATCTTTTGGAAGCATAATAGTGTACAACTAACCTGACTATCCAAGAGCTTATATAAAAACATTTTATATAAAATAAGTAAAATATGTTTATTATAAAAATGAAAATAAAGATCAAAAGGGTGGAAATTAAAAAGTCCACATGAATCACTTATTTTCATCCAGCTTTTTCTAGACACATATGCAATCACACCTTAAACGTGGAATAATTATGGAAACACTTTTCAGTTATCTGCTTAGTTCTGTTTGTATTCTAAGAAGATCTTATGGTGTCAATGCATTTTCATTCTCACCACTTTTTATGACACTCCATATATCCTGTTGGATGAATGTATCACAGTTCATTTAACCTATATTCTATTATCACTAGGCTATTTCTTAGTTTTCCATGTTATAAACTTTTCTGCAAGGCTTTCTCTGTAATTAAATCTTAGCACACATCGATAATTGTTTCTTGACATACATTCTCAGAAATTGGAGGCTTTGTGATTTTTGTGTCTTAGAACACAAAAGAAATATTTTAGCCATAGCAAGAGGCAACTGGGATGAGGGCATAGTTTCTCTCTTCTTTTCATGTGCTTTTGAGGATAGGGAACTCTGCAACTACAGGATCCTTTGAAAAGGAAAAAATATCTCCCTTGAAATAGTGACCAGCCAGGTGGTTGATGTCTGTCAAAAGAAAAGATCAGCTAGAAAATGGCTGTTGGCAAACAGGTGGACTGTGAGGACTGAGCAGACTCTGTCGCCATGACCAGATTATACAGAAATGGTTCTCAGCTGGGGACCGTTTTGCCCCTCAGGGAACATCTGGTAGTGTCTGTAGATATCACTGACTGCCATGACCAGAGGAGATGCTATTGCACCTACTGGGCAGAGGCCAGGGATGATACTAGGCCTAGGTGCATAAGACCACCCATGGGACAAAGAAGGATCTGGTTCACGAGGTCAGTATTGTTGAGGCTGAGAAAACTTGTGGTAGAACAAAAAGAAAAGGAATGTCAGTGTATCTCTGGAAACCCTGGCATAGCATTTAAACACTCCTCATTGAAAATTTTATGTGTGTTTTAAATATTTTTCTCCAAAGGACTCTTCAGTTACCCAACATATTTGGCTTGTCTTAGACTTGAGTACCAGCCACACTGAGGGACACAGGAAGTCTGTGCACAGTGTAGTCCTGCTTGCTCCTGGCTTCTATTAGGATTAATCTGGGCAGGGGTGTGTGTGTGTGTGTGTGCATGTGTGTGTGTGTCCTAACTATAGAGACTGTCTTGTGAGGAAGGCAGAGAAGAATTCAGGCTGCCTGATTTGTCTCAGCATGATGATAAACATGGTGATGTAAAAGATTGACTGAGTTCTTGGCAGAACTAAACCAGACCTAAAGACTTGATGCCTGTCCCAGGGCTAGTCTTTGTTTTTAAGGGAGACAGCTTTATCTCCCTAGAGTTTGTAGAGCTGCCTGGTCTAGCCACACTGCATGTTTCAATCGTGCAGCAGCCAGTCCTGATTGTGATGGGCTTAGCTGAAATAGGAGGAAAATGATGTTTATAAGCATCAAAAGAAGAGGATGGAAGAATTGGGCACTTTTCCCACAGTGCAATAATTCATCTGTGAAACACATGCAAAAATTGAGGCTAAAAACAACTTGGCACCGATCAATTCATCACGTTTTTTATTGAGTACAGATTAAGGCTGGCTTTGTGTACAGCCCTTGAATATAAAGATGTATAGGATAGATAGCCAAATGTAGTAACATATGGGCAGTGCAGGAGCACCTAGGTGACTCAGTCACTTAAGCCTCTGATTTGATTTCAGCTCTGGTTATGATTTCAGGGTTTTGGGATCGAGCCCCATGTCAGGCTCTGCACTCAGTGTGGTGTCTGCTTGAGATTCTCTCCCTCCCTCTCTGCCCCTCTCTTCACTTGTGCTGGTTCTCTGTCTTTGTCTCTCAAATAAATAAATAAATAAATAAATAAATGAAATCTTGGGGAGGAAAAGTATATGGGCAGTGCCATTATGCACAAGTATTGAATGAGTATGTAATAAGAGAAGGACCCAACATGATGATTAAGAGTGGACTCTGGTGCTCTTTGTGACCCTGGGTCTTTGTGACCCTATTTAGGTAAATTTTTCTTATCTTTTCTGGCTCTTAGTTTCTTCATCTGTAAAATAGAATAATTGCTGTGAGGACCAAGTGAGCTAATCCACGTAAAGCATTTGAAATAGTGCCAAGTGTTCACTATGGCTATCATAATTCTGTACTAGTTCCCAGATCATAAAGAAAATGTGTGAGGTCATCTATGACTCCTCTTGGGCACAGCAAAGAAGGAATATTAGAGAAAAGGAAGTAATTCCCTAGCTGAGTCTTAAAAGGTGAGCAAGGCAGGCAGACAAGACAGCAATAGCATGATGAGCAAACAAAACAGTGTGTGCAAAGGCTCTGAGGCACATAGGAACAAGGCATCCTAGAACTGTAGGTATCTTGCATTTGCTTGGATTATAGGTTTCTTGTGGTGACTTTCAGCGATGTGACTATGAAATAAGCAGAGGCTGGATCCCAAAGGGCTTAATGTGCCTTGCTAAAGGGTGTTAATATTAGGTAGGATGTCTTTTGCTAATGGTTGAATACCCACCTCAAAAAGACTTGGTAAAAATGGCATGAATAGTAACTGTAACTGAAAAGTCCCAGGGAAGCCTGGCTGTAGGCATGTAGGCATGTAGGTTGTGGCTGGAGGCGGAGGGTCAGTTAGAAAGTTTTTACTCATCTGGGGAACTAACGATGAGTGTATGAATGAAACCTCGACATTGGGGATGGAAAGATGTGATGACTCAGAACTGTATGTGTAAGAGCTGGAAACATTAAGGAATTTATACTGAATAAAATTCAGTGTGAAGGGGAAGAACAACATCAACAATGTCCCTTAGGTTTGGCTTTGGTGACAGGTGGGGTATGGATGTTGTTTGTTGGAAGTGGAGGCTACAGAAGGTGAGAGAGTAGAAGGTATCAGACAACACGTTAGTCAATTTCTGAAATATTTTTATGTCCATGATCTATTTTCACAGACTGGCACAGAAGAAGTATATTCAGAGTTTATAGAACCTTCTTATCACTGCAAACAACATCATTCACAATGACGAATGACCCGGGAATGCCCTTTTGCATGTACAGGTACAAGGAAACAGACATGTCCCAAAAGTGTGTTACACGGGCACACACATGTTTTGTGTTGTTCTCACTTTTTAAAAATTTGTTTTGCCCTTTTATTCTCACCTGATTCTGACTAATGCATTCTTTCTGTGTTTTATCTGTCTTTGCAAGTGACTCTAAATCCTTTCTGGAACAAGATGTTATATAGTTAATAAATCTCTCTTAATACATATTCATTACAAGTCAGCTCTCACAAAGCATGATTGGAATGAGACTTAGAATTCTTTTTTTTAAACCAAAATCAGTCTTCCATTATTTTTTTACACAAATACCCATAAATGTGGATAAATGCCATCTGTCATTTCTTTTTTAAGGAATAAAAGATACCTATGTTTGCTTAAGGAGTTTATCCTTTTATTAGCAAAATAGTCTTTCCTTTCCCACTTTAGGTCTCTGGTCCCCATCACTGGCCCACCAGATATTTCAAAATAAAATTCACCTTTGGGCCTAGAACCAGCTGAAGAAGTGCGAGTTTAAAAAAGCTACTCAAAATAGGCTTTGTAATGAAAGAAACATTTAAAAGGTAAGTAAACAATGTCCACAAAATGAATGCATGAATGGATCGCGATCAGAAAAAAAAATTAAATTACACAATAATTTTGTGGGTCATGATTTTCTACAATAAATCCTTCTTTTCCAGTTTCTCCAGCAAATCCCATGGTCTTCAAAGGGCCCATATTTTCATGTTCCTCAGATGAGCTTCTGCTGTTGGCTGTTTTTTACACTTTGTAACCTGGCCTTCCAGGTCCAGCTGTTATGTCATAGCAGGTGACTATTCCAAACCACCTTTGCTTTCTCTTCTTCTCTACTTTCATTGCTCTTGGCCCTCCAGACCTGTGTCCTGACTCTGGAGAAGAGCAACCAACGGGCAAAACATGGCATGCAGGAGAAGATGTTGGGAAGTAGGTCTGCCAATGGGAGAAACAGGCATTGCCCTTACACATCGCTGCTTGATCACTGCCAGTGTCATCTCTGATCACAGCAGCCCCCAGCTCTGGGACACACAGGGACCCCAAGGTTCCTCATAACTGAGGTCCACATTTGTCAGGTTGACATTTGAGGCTCTTCTGGGTCTGTGTTCTTACTTTCATTCTTTGTCCCCATTCTTACCTCTCTCCCTACCTTGGCCCTTCTATGTTCCAGCTACCTCAGAAAGTGCAAGGGGCAGAGGAGATTTCCCAAGCCCTCTTCTCTCACCCCCCAATTTGAGAGTAAACATGTCCCCCTCAGCATTTCTTCCAGAGCATTTGTCTCTATGTCCAGTTTAGCACTTAGCATGTTTTAGCCTGCTCATTTCCAGAATTCTTGGTATTTTGTGTATGTGTGTATGTGTGTGCATGTCATTTCCTTTCTCATGTCCTTGGAAATTGGGTGGCAGGGGCTGGGCCATGTTCACCTTGGTGTTCCTCCACCATCACAGAATCCTGTGGTGACTCACACAGAGGAAGCATACAAAAAGCTTATCAAATAAATGAGCCAAGAGAGAACACATGGAAGGAGGAGCAGAAGCCACCAAAAAGGAAGAGAGTAAGGGGGCGGCAGATGGGAGAGAATCCTGACTGGGATGGAATGGTGAAGAACTGTGCTGCAGTAGGGAACCAGACACTCACCCCGAGAGACCACGGGACTGTGGGAACTGTGAGGCTTGGAAGGGACAGTTACTTGTTCAGACCTCTGGCTTCTCTTCATCTTCCTCCCGTTCACCCCATCAACACATGATAAATCAGTGAACATATACTTCACTTTACTTGAATTCCATACCTTGGAGATCTATAAGAAATAATGCCTCCTGACAATGTAAAGTAGTGCCCTCATTCTTGCACAAGCTAAGAGGAATAATAATTGTCTTGGGAAACTGTCAGGCTAAAGGATTTAGGAGAATGCTCTCCAGACTGATCTCAGTAACTTGTGTCTCTTCATTTACATTATTCCTCTTGGGCCCCCTCTATCTCTTAGATTTTTACCCCTTCCAATGGCAAATACCAGTGGTGTTATGAGGGTGAGATGGGGTGAATGCAGCTGCTGAATTCATGTTTTCTTTGTATTCCTCCCACCTCCTTAAATACACACAACTTAGAACGCTTAGTGTTTTTCCATGTGTAAAAGTTTCTCTGTCTCCCTTCTCCAGGATAGAGCAGCTCCTATGTGCATCCAGCTTCGAGTCAGTCTGTCAGGGCTCATCTCACTGAATTGTGACAGTATGCTCATCACACACCAGCCTGTATGAAGGTAGAGACTTTGTTTTAACTCACTATTAAATCTGACCCACCACCACTGTGTCTGGGTTACACAGGCCTACTAAAGAGTTGTTGAGCGAATACATACACGAGCGTGAAGGAACAAATAACAAAACAGAGGAAATTAGTGCTTCACTTTAGCTTGCCAGAAATTACTCAGTATCTCTTACCTTTAGTTTTTGACTTTTGAGAATCATTAAAGACTTCGTCTCGGGTGTTATGATTCTCTTAAACAGCAAGCAAATATGCAATTTTATGAAGATTTAATGAGACAGCATCATTGCCAGCTGATTTTATCACTCAGGGAGTTTAATAGAAAATTTCTTAACATTGTCTTTAATTTGTTTAAATATTTATGAACATTGCTTTCGAGAGGATTCTTATCTGGGGTTATTGTTTTATAGAATTCATTTTGGTGTGCTTTCAACCATTTGGTGGTTGATCTTGCTTTAATAGATGCTGCTAGAATTCTCTGTAAGTGCTTTGGAATCTGAGTGGGAGTCTCTTTGGATTTCATTTCTTCTTGCTCCACCTTCCAAGGCCCCGGATTAAATCAAAGTGTCTGCCATAAGGATCTTGGAACATTCAGGACATGAGTCCTAATCACAGCTCATCATCTTCAGATATGGAATCTAGATAATCTGTGTCAACATACAGGAGAAATCCGGAGAACAAGCTGTCTGCCCAACCTGGGTCTGAGAAGAGGCCATTCTGGTCAGTGAAGAAGATCTCCAGCCACACTTCATCTTCTGGCTGCAGATAGATGACTGTGGACCCGGAAGCGACGTCATGGTTCCCTGTGTTGGCATCGAATGTCTTTATCTTGTACTGCCCGTTGTGAACGAGCCCGATTGCCAGATGCTTATTTGCCAATGTGATATCATAAGAAAAGTAATAGATCCCTGGGAAGGCACAGATGAACTTCCCTGTGGCAGGGTTGTAGTGCTCTCCCTCATTGAAGAGGACCTTGTTAAATATAATTGGTAGCCTTTCTTCTGGGTAGCTGGTAGTGATGCCAACAGAAAAGGCAGATTTGAGCACAATGCTTCCGCATCTACAAACTCCAGGCAGCCCTGGGTCCCCTTGCTCTCCTCTGTCCCCCTTTGCTCCAGGAGGCCCAACTGGACCTACTTCTCCTTTTTCTCCCTCTGGTCCCATGGGTCCTTTCTTCCCAGTCTCTCCTTGGTCCCCTTTCTCTCCAGCAAGGCCCAGTGGTCCAGTCTTACCTCTCAAACCTTTAAAAAGAGTTTACAGTTTAATTGATAGCTCCTCCATATATACAGTCACAAACAGCATGCCCCACAAAGTGCCAGAACACCCTAGATGTGTCTCTCCAATCAACTTTCAAGAGTAAACTACTAAATACTAATGCATCTAAAAAAAAAAAATCACTGCTGCATTAAAACGGAAATAGAAAATTTTCATCAGAATTTCAGGTTAGTGTTCCTGAGTACATGAGAAATCACTTAAATGCTATTTTGATGATGAATCATCTGCAATGAAATCAGTCACATACAGTATTTGTCACTACAGGAGAAATTCAGTGAGCATAATGATATTATTCCCCAGAGTGGGGTCATGGGGACAGACAGAACCAGATGAATCCTTCAAGGCTATTTTGTCTTATGCCCCATTCCACTTCTATCGGTATTAATAATACAAGAATTAATGAAGATTAGATTAGCTCATATTTATTCAACATTTACTATGTACCAGGGACAGCACTTTATTCACAGACATTGTCTTCTTTAGGCCTTGCAACAACATTATGGATTAGGAAATTACTATTGCTTCCCTTGCAGGTGGGGAGACTGAGCCACAGAGAAGTTAGTTTGCTCAAGGGAACAGGTAGTAAGTGATGGAGCTGTGACCTGAACTCATGCCTGCCTGACTCTGGAGCTTGAGCATCCCCCTGAGGCAGGTGCTGGAGTGTACATTGTAGAGTGCACCAGCACGTAGTGAGGGCTCAATATGCTACGATAACCAAACAACAGTGAGGGCCACCCCTATGCGGTAGTCCTTTTTTGGAGGAGAAAACTGAATCCCAGAGAGGGGAAGAAACTTGCTTCTGTAGCAAGGTTAAGACTGGAATCCAAGTCCTAGTGTAATGATGCTTCCCCTTCATCAAAGTGCCTCTTACCTTTGGGGCTGGAATCAAGAATCCTAAAGTCTGTTTGGCTTTGCAGCTAAATGGTTGTATCATTTTAGGCAAGTCCCTTAATTTCTCTGGGTCTCCTTATATATAGAAAAGACATAATATCTGTGAAAGGATTTCAACAAATTCAAAATCACCACAGTGAAATATTTTCTGTTTGTCTAAATCTTTATACCTATAGATCAACCACAGGCTAAATGCAGAGAAATTATGATCATTGGTTGAAAGGGATAAGCAACATCTATTCAATTTTTAAACCATATATATAATATATGTAATGTATATTATATATTATTTATATATTATATAAAATATATGTTATACATATGTAATATGTATGTTATACATATATAATATATAATATGTATTATATTATATAAAATATTTAATTAAAATATAAATTAACAAAATATGAAATGTCATTTAATTTTTATGGTCAAATCCATTCCGTAAATAATGCTTGTATAATGATACATCCTCAAAAATATCCAAATTATTGGTAATTTATCATGGCTTTTGTAGTCAGGGAAAATATATTATTGGTATACTGTGTAGTTATCTACATACTCTTTTAACTATGTATTTGTTCTCAGGAACTTTTATTAAGCTAAACCTTTTTATCTTAATAGTGATCTGGTATCATTTATTTGAATATTACATGTATGTCAGTGCTTGAGCTTAATAATTTTTCAGTTATTTGGCAAATGTAGGAAAGAAATATTCTGAATAATGTAAATTTGGGGAGAATTAATGCTATACCCTTAAAACATACAGTATTTTGTTTTAGTAAGTTTGGAAAGAGGTTTTTTAACAATTTATGATGCACAGAAGAATCTAATCATGAATGAAACCCTTTTTTTTGGTGACTGGGATCGGTGTTATTACTGATCATAGAACTGTCCTCAAGTTCTAGGTGGCTTTTGTTGTGAAGTTGAAATTCCACTGGTCCCAGCCAGAGTATAGTCTGTGTTTATTTCTTGAAATAGTCTGACCTCTGCTTCTTTTTGGTAGGAATAAAATATGAATACTATCTTACTGTTGAATTTATTTGTGAATCGAGGACCACAACTTCTAAATTGTTATTTTTATTTTCAATAGGAGCTTAACTTCTGCTGTCTCCCTGAGTGACCTTTGATATATTAATAAAAAAACTTTTTGGCATCAACAACAATTTCAACTATTATGTACTCCAATCCTCCTGCTTCTGTGACTTTGGGCAAGTCACTTCTTGTCTTTCCAATGCTCCATTTGTAATATGAAGAATTGGATTTAAGTCCAATCTCAGTGTTTGGATTTTCTATGGCTATTGAATTAGATAATCAGGGATTAGCTATAATAACTTGAAGTAATTCTTCCTGTTTGCATGAGGGATTTGCACCTGTGCTAAGGACCAATTAATGAATAATGGAAAGAAGGGATACATCACTCTTCCCCTTCCTATTCAGGCATATACTTGGGTAGAGAGGAGAATTAATGGAGTAGTGGTTAGTCTACGCTTAGGTACTGACACTTGGAGAAAGGAATTCTTAGTTCTCTAGGAAATGGGCTTACAAAGATTTCTTCTTCAGTACTATTTCTTTCTCCAATTCATCTATCCATCCATCCATCCATCCATCCACCCATCCATCCATCCATGGATTTATATGTGCATGTATACATACATCTAAACCATGTCATATTTTTTGACTATCCACTACATGCTAGGCACTACACAAGGGGCTGAGTGGGACCTTGACATGAATGACACCTGTCCCACCCTCAAGTTAGCTGTTACTATGTATTATACTGCGATCTGCAAATATGTCCATGAATATCTAAAGCCATTTAATAAAGTAGAATGATCTGTTTCATGAGCTGGTTCTAGTGTTATTTGAAGATATCTATAGAGATGTGCATTCAGATTAAATTAACTTGCAATATTAGGCTATAAGACTAATTGCTATAGACCAGTGAGGGAGGCAGATATTTTTAAAAGAACATTTCTAATTTGGTATAATAAGTTCTGTTTGGATGCATGTGATGGGGATGTTTACCATGAGGATATGAAGAGAAGACATATGTACTATCATTCGAGGGGACAGAAGAATCAAAGGACACATTGTGTCCAGTTTCAGCTGCATTAAAAGCTTGTCCCCAAAGCCCCAGAGCTCCATTTCTATTGTTCATAAATGGGGTGTGTTTTTCTTCATTGAACACACAGACATTCCTAACTTTCTTGGCTCTTACATATCCTTATATGTGTATTTGTGTATATTGGATTTAAGTCATCTCAGGTTGGGGAAGTCATTTTATTTGTGAATCTCAATGTTTTCACTGTAACATTGTAATTGTTGATTGTAATGATTTCTAACAGGGTTATGGCAGATGTTAAGTACTAAATGTAAAATTCCTGACACAGTAAGTTCTTAATAAATGGCTACGATGATGATGATGAATATTGTAATTATATGTTTCTATACTGGCCTCCCACATCCCCATGTTTGTTTGTCAAGGCAAGGACAATGTCATATTCATGTTTGTGTTCTCATTGTCTACAACAGTAGTAGGGGACAAATTTATACTGCCCACCAAGGGATATTTGGCAATGTCTGGGGACATTTGTGTTGTCAGGGGTGGTGAGGTTACCACTGGCATCTAGTGGGATGCTTCTAAGTGTCCTACAATGCTAGGAGAGCCATCCCACAGTAGCTCATTATTTGGCCCCAAATGTCATTAGGGTGGAGGTTGAGAAACACTGGTCTAGAATAATACCAGATAGCAATATGTACACAAGAACCTTGCTGAAGAATAAAGCATGGGTAGATAGATGACTAAGCTGGCCTTGTATATTTAAAATTGTAGCAATTATGAACATTCAGTTTAATCTGAATGCATACCCGTATACCTATTTTTAAATTTTTTTTTTAAATTTTATTTTTTATAAACATATATTTTTATCCCCAGGGGTACAGGACTGTGAATCTCCAGGTTTACACACTTCACAGCACTCACCATAGCACATATCCTCCCCAATGTCCATAACCCCACCCCCCCTCTCCCAACCCCCCTCCCCCCATCAACCCTCAGTTTGTTTTGTGAGATTAAGAGTCACTTATGGTTTGTCTCCCTCCCAATCCCTGATATGAGGGGGAGGAGATGCAACATGGGGGGTTAAGGGGGTAGGAGAACCGTATACCTATTTTAAAATGACATTAGAACTACCTCATGAAACCCATCACTCATTTCTGGTTTATTATATGACTTTGGATATTCAGGAACTTAGCTATGACTCATGTTTGTGGAGCACTGTGTGATATGTAACAACAGCTAACATTTCCTAAGTGCCTACCACACGACTGCTTTTCTACTAAGTGTTTTATATGTATTATTGCACTTAATCATCACAATCATCCCTACTACTCTCAGGTTACAAATGAGGGAACTGAGGCTCAAAGTAGCTATTTGCCTAAGGGTGCTAAGTTAGTAATTGAAGGAGCCAAGATTTGAGCCTAAATCCAACTGACTCCATTGCCTGCTTGTATAAACACTACATTATTGCTTCCAGACATAGTAAACTAAAACGGTTGGTCATATGTAACTCTGATCCTGGTGTTCTTACAGGATTTCAAGGCTATTTATGATCATGACACAATAAGTTGTATTCATAAGTGTTACCGTAGATAAGCTGTTGAACATTTACGTAAAGATTTTTTATCTAATATTGAACAATACCCATACACATTTGGTAGCAATTGGTTTTCCAAGTATTTTCTGCACAGCAAATACAGAAATGAGTTATTATCTGGTAACTTGCATATATATTATGCTATTGTTTCATGTAACATCAGTAAATCAGCTGCAATAACTAGATAGAGACCTGTTTCTTAGAATGGATTAACTTTTCTCTTCCTATCTTTTGTACTAGACTTTACACTCAGAAACTTGTTTTCAAAGATTGATGCCAAATCACTTCCTCTTTAGAGTTAACACAGCTTCTCTAGAATTTCAATTTGGTTTACTCTGAAGGATTGCAGAGTCTGGCAATCTTCCTGGGCTAACTTATTTGTTGGGGGGGGGGGAAGTAAAAATTACTGAAGTAGTAGAGGGCAATGGTGTTGCCATCAAGAGCTGTAAGAATCTACTTTTTTAGCTGTTACAGGATAGGTGGGGAAGAGATGAACCAGAAAGGGTGTGCTATATACTGCTATTGTCATTTACTGCTATTGTCATTTCATCTCTGAAAAGTAAAATCTAGAAGTCCTTCATGTGACTTTGCTCTGGATATTAGCACAGAGCAGGATGGTACCTGTGCTTTTGGTTACTGATTCCTGCTTCTGCTTCGACTGTCCATTTCCCTTCCTTGTCTATCTGTCTGCTATCTATCCATGCCCTTGCACATCCAGACATTGCCTGCTAGCTGTGATCGCCCTGTGGTCTCAGGCATTAGTGTTTGAATCCAGCTCTGCCGGTCACTAGTATTGAACTTCCGTCTTCAGTAATTAATTTAACCATGCTATTGCTCTGTGTTCTCATCTGTAAAATGGGATAACTGAAAAAGTTGTCATTACAATAAAATAAGGTTGCAGGTAAAGAGTTTCAAGCAGTATCCAAAGCATAGAAAGGGCTCAATATTAATTACGATTAAAGAAGGTGAAGTAGAGAAGGGATTTCAGGAGCAATTCTCATTAGAAAAGGCAATAAAGAAAGGAAATAGTTTAAGGTGGCATGCTCATTTATTTATTTATTTATTTAAAAAGATTTAGTGATTTATTTTAGAGAGAGAGAGAGAGCACGTGAGCACCAGTGGGGGGAGGAGCAAAGGGAGAAGAGAGAAAAATCCCAAGCAGACTCCCCACTGAGCGCAGACCAGGGGAGTTTAGGGAACTTCATTGTTCATTACCTGCAGCTCCCTTTTCACCTTTCTCTCCTTTCCTGCCGTCTCTACCATCTCGTCCTGGAAGGCCGATCCGACCATGGGGCCCTGGGGAACCATTTGCTCCAGGCGGTCCTGGAGGTCCAGGTAAGCCAGGGATGCTACAGATATATCTTGGGGAGTAGCTCTCTCCTTTGAACTGATTACCCCGAGGCTGTCCACTGGCACAAATGGCAAAACTTGTAACATAGAGCAAGATAAACATCTTTGGCTCTGGAAAAGAAACACAGGGACATAAATGCACCCACTCAGGTGGAAGTTTTGGCATAAATGAACATGGGAATGGGCATCGGCAACCCCTCACTTCAGTGCTTACCATTCCATGCATGTATAAAACCCAGTTTACTCTCATAATTCCCTTGGAAACTATTAACACATTACTTATAGAGAGTTCTCAGTGCCCCGCAGAAGGATTGGTGGAGATGAAGGATTGATTTAAACAATTTCAAAATAAAGCCACTTATATTTTTTTCCTGTGGGGTCAATGATGGAATTTGAAAAAGAACACTTTCTTTTTGCAAAAATAATGCATTATTTTTAGAAAATTAGAAATATATATGAATAAGATCAAGATTAACATTCTCCCACTAGAGATAATTATAGTTAACATTTTGATACACACATCCTTCTGGTCTGTGTTGTGGAGAAAAGTGATACTATGCCATTCTTGTATTTTTTTCAACTTTTTTCACTTAACAGTATATCAGGAGCATCTTCCTGTCTCAAAAATTATTCATAACATTAAAAAAGATGCATTTTTCTCTACTTTCCTTTATGTACATGATTCTCCATTGTAGATATTTTCTTCCAGTTTTCTGCCAATATAAACCCTATGCTAGACATTGGTATATCTAGTCTTTGCATGCATCCATGATCATTTCTTTAGAATTTACAGGCTTTTTAAAGCAGGAGAAAAGAAGTGTCATTCTCAGGAAAACATGTTTTTCACTTGATAATCATGTGTAAAACCAATTAGTGTTAATTGAAGTACTGTTCATGTCCTGCAAGGGGGGTTCTCAAACTTTAATTTAAAACCTGCAGGATACAATGCCCTGGTGAACCATTAAGTCATTAACACCAAGGCTCATTTAAAGAGCTGAGTGAAATTAAACCATGCATGGTGCCACGTGCTTCTAGGGAAGCAGACAACTGGTCTCTTCAGCTATGATTTAATAGGACTTTGTTTTTCCCTCCACAAATAGGATCCTGAACATGATGTATCATTTGTTAGCATGAAATTTGGCATATAAGCTGAGGGGTGGGCAGTATAGGCTGGGACACCTGATTTTCTAGGCTCAATGGTCCTTAAGATTAGTGGCTTCTTGGATGGACAATGCATACACATGGTTTTGGGGAGGTGTAAATGAATAGTTCCTGGATAGTAGTATCCAATAGTTTTGGATAGTTTTGGGCCTGTGCTTTAATAAGAAGTCTCAACAATGCTTGATGTACATGCCTGGCATATACTTGCCCAAAGCAAATAACGTTAAAATGTGAAAAAAGCAATCGGATGGAGTTTCCTTGTTTTTTGACAGCCACATCAGAAAATTAACCAGGCACATGGTACCAGTTTTATAATACCTGTGGGGAAATAGCAACATCTTGGAATTAGACCTAGAAATTTGTCAGAGCATAGGAATGGGAGACTGAGAAAAACACAGTGTGCACATGTGGTTCAAAATAAATCTGTTTCCTAGAAATCTTGTTAGTGAAAAACTGAGGCAACTTACCCAAATATAGGCTCTCTTTCCTTGACCAAATCTCCATGTTGCCAGTGTCTCTCTCCCCACATGACCCCCCACCCCCAAATCCAGGAGAATATTTTTGCTGTGTACTGTCTGCTGTAATATAACACAAACTCAAAAGTACTGATCCCATTGCTCAACTGGGGTTAAGGCACTTTCTGAGAAGCCCAGAGGATCTCATAAAGATACAAGCCCTTTCAAGGGTGTTCCAGATGAAAGAAAATGAAAGAACTTTCTATGCATACCCCTGCCATAGTTAAAACAAACTATAATGATTAAATTGCTAGCTTTTTCTTGTGAAAAACTGATTAGAGGAGGTTTTGAGAAGGAATTTGAAAGAGAGGAACATGCTCATAGAAGTTACTCATAAAAAGGTGTTTAAAGAGACATGGAGGGGCACCTGGGTGGCTCAGTGGGTTAAAGCCTCTGCCTTCAGCTCAGGTCATGATCCCAGGGTCCTGGGATCGAGCCCTGAGTTGGGCTCTCTGCTTGGTGGGGAGCCTGCTTCCCTTCCTCTCTCTCTGTCTGCCTCTCTGCCTCCTTGTGATCTCTGTCTGTAGAATAAATAAATAAAATCTTAAAAAAAAAGAGAGAGACATGGAATGGGATGCTGTGGCTGAGGTCAGGATTTGGTTCTATGAGGGATTTGAAATTATGTGGAGAGAAGACACTTTGGGCAGTGGCATCTCAGACACTGGTGGAGATGCTGAAAACACAAACATACCCATAGTTGGGTATTAGTTTATCAAGAAGCTTGTGGTAAGCTTCCAGGTTATGGTGGGTAGAAAAAGGAGAAATTTTAAAGATCTGCTTGGAAGGATAGTAGTATTTCCAACCATCAAGAAAAAGCTGCTCTAAGAAGGTAAAAATTAACACAATCTAAAGAGATGCATTCATTGAACACATGGTTTGCCTTTCATTGACAAATGCATTAGGATTTTATTTATTTATTTATTTATTTATTTATATTATAATGTTCAATTAGCCAGCATATAGCACATCATTAATTTTTGATGCAGTGTTCAATGATTCATTAGTTGCATGTAACACCCAGTGCTCATCACTACACATGTCCTCATTAATACCCATCACCTGGTTACCCCATTCCTCAACCCCCTCCCTTCTGTAACCTTCAGTTTGGTTCCTGAGTTCAGAGTCTCTCATGGGTTGTCTCCCTCTTTGATTTCTTCCTACTCAGTTGTCTGTGCTATAGTCTAAATGCTAGAAGCATCCCCAGTTAGAATATAATCTTTTTTAATTTATATAGAAAGAGGTGAGGCAGAGGGGGAGGGAAAATAATCTTAAACAGGCTTGATGCTCAAGGCAGGGCTCCATCTCATGACCCTGAGATCATGACCCAAACTGAAATCAAGAGTTGGACACAACGGACTGAGCCACCCAGGCACTGGCAGATGCCCTCTGTCCTACCCAGTTAGAATTTTTGAAAGGCATTCAAAATGATTACCCATTAACAATCCTCATTGGAACTGATGAAAAACATGATGTGGTGCCTGATGCACGATGACAGCATGGTGGTAAGTGACCGCTCAAGTCTTGGGACTCAATTTACTATGATAACAAAGGAGTGTAGGGTATAATGGAAAACTACAGTGGCATCACCCTGCACTAGTTCTTCATTTTACTTAGAAGTCGAAAACCTCATAGTACATGGTCTTCAAGGCTCTACTGGATTGGGCACCCACCTTCCTTACTTCTCTGAAATCATCTTCCTCTACTCTCCTTCCCACTCTCTAGCTCCAGTCACTATGAATTCCTTGGGTTTCTCAGTGACACCAGGAATGTTCTGCCTTAGGGAGTTCATACTGTTTCTTCTGTCTAGAACTTTCTGCCCAAAGACATCTACATGTCTCACTCTCTTATCTCCCTTTCTTTGTTTTTTTAATTTTTAAAAAGATTTGTATTTATTTATTTGACAGAGAGAGAGATTACAAGTAGGCAGAGAAGCAGGCAGAAAGAGAGGGGGAAGCAAGCTCCCCGCTGAGCAGAGAACCTGATGCAGGGCTCGATTCCAGGACCCCAAGACCATGACCCGAGCGGAAGGCAGAGGCTTAACCCACTGAGCCACCCAGGCACCCCTCTCATCTCCCTTTCTGAGTCTTCTCAAATACCACCCTTTCCCTGAAGCCAATTCTTTTTTTTTTTAATTTAATTTTATTTTTTCAGTGTTCCAAGATTCATTGTTTATGCACCGCATCCAGTGCTCCATGCAATACGTGCCCTCCTTAATACGCACCACCAGGCTCACCCAACCCCCCACTTCCCTCCCCTCCAAAACCCTCAGTTTGTTTCTCAGAGTCCACAGTCTCTCATGGTTTGTTTCCCCCTCCGATTTCCCTCAATTCACTTTTCTTTTCCTTTTCCTAATGTCCTCCGTGTTATTCCTTATGCTTCACAAAGTAAGTGAAACCATATGATAATTGACTCTCTTTGCTTGACTTATTTCAGTCAGAAATCTCTTCCAGTCCCATCCATGTTGATACAAAAGTTGGGTATTCATCCTTTCTCATGGAGGCATAATATTCCATTGTAAATCTTACACTGTATTTAACATTGCAATAGCCTTTCATACATCTTGACCCTCCCTCATTCTGCTCTACTGTTTTCTCTTCTTTGTACTCACCACCTCTAACTCACTAGATTATTATTACCTTTATTATGCTTTAAAAATATTGTTTATCACCAATCTGATAGAATGTAATCTCCATGACGGTCAGGGACTTTGTCTTAGTCATTGACTTCTACAACCATCTAGAATAGAGTTTGGCACAAAAAAAGCCTCAGGTTGTGGGCAAGGAAGGCTATGTTTTGGGGGGCCAGGTGTTAATTTTATGAAAAACAAAATGAAGCAGAGAGAATGGACTGTGAGAATATTACAAGGGAAAGAAAAAAGAGAGACTTAAAGAAATATTCTGGAGATCTGTGGGACCCTTTCACCATGTTTGAAAAATACAAACAAAAGTCTTGAATTTTTTTAATTTTGCATAGTCTAGAGTATTTAGAAATACTTTAAATATTTACTTTTTTTAGTATAGAAAGAACATGAACATTTATAAAAAGTAAATCTCTTCTCCCTCCTCCCAGTCTTACAGACATGTACTTTCCCTCTCTAGAGGCAATCATTGTTGCTAGTTTGTTGTGTGTCCTTCTTCTCCATGTTTTTGGCACACTATATGCAACTTTTTGTATCTAAACTTTTTGTATCTAGACTTTTCAGGTAGCTAAGAGATTTTCTCATATATATATGTATGTGTATATATGTGTGTATATACACACATATATATCTTAAATCTATAAATATATTTATAGATTTAATATGTATATTTAATATTGATATATTTAAAATATATAAATAAATATACTCTTTTTATATATTGCTTGTACATTATCTTTTATTTTTTAAAAGATTTTATTTATTTATTTGCCGGAGAGAGAGAGAATGAGCAAGCA